ACATTTGGGAGCCAAATGTAGAAATGAGCATGGCACAGGTGAAGGCAGCAAAGAGAACTGGAGCAAGCAAGAGGTGCATATTTGAAAGTGTCTTTTATTTAGTCATTCAACATAATTAGGTAATGGGGATTCAAGTAAATAAGGCAGTCGCGTCTCTAGCCAGTGAAACTTAACCTAAGAGGGATAAGGCTGACGAGGAAAGGGTGGAAATGGATAATGGAGAGCCTACAGAGGTTGGATTTTATCCTGAGGACACTGGGGGGAAGGAGCATCAAAAGTTTGAAGAGGGGAAATAAAAGCACCTGTACTTTACAGAATCAAGCTGAGTCTAGGAAATTCCCAAGAGCGTGTGGAAGCCCTGTCTCTGATTGGTGGGCTCAAGCTCATGACCGCCAAGCTTTTCCCCAGCTTCCTAAACTGCTTCTCTGATGACTTCATGGCAGTTCGGCGAGCAGCCTGTTTGGCAGCAGGTGCCCTGCAGATCCGTAATGCAATGGTGAGTCAAGGAAACACGATCCCATCTTACCTGATAACCCGAAGAGAGCATACCCTGAGCTTCCCTCGTTGTGCACAGTACACTCACCATTCTGTGGGGACACAGAATGAGAGATCAGAACCAGGAAGGTGAGGGGATATATGGGCCACATCTATCGGTTGGGACCACATTTGGCTCCCAGCCAGCCCAGACTTGCCTCTAGAGCACATCCTTGAATCTTCTTCTTACCTTATTTATGGGCTTTAAGATCAACTCCAGTGAGTGAAGTTGTAATCCCACGTTATTAGGGGAAAACCTGACGGAGGTATTCAAAAGAAGCCTGTATCACCATATAGATCTGTGAGCTGAGAAAAACAATGGACAGATAGGAGATAATTCAGCTAATATATTACGCATGCAGGGTAATACTTCAGACTCCAGCTCATTTGTCACTAGGATATGTCATTTTTCAGACAAGAGGGGTCCCTTTCTTGTTCATTTTTGCTCTGAACTTCTCTACTCAACATTGCCTCTTATCCATCCCAGGTGTTTTCTTTCTTTCTTATCCCAGGTTTTTGAATGCCTCCGGAATCTGATACAGAAAGATCCTTACTGGAAAATCAAGGCCTTTGCCCTTCGAGGTATGACAGAGAAAATGGCCCCAGCTCCTCAACCTCAAATATCTTTTCCATAAGCTAGTACAAATGATCCCCAGAATTTCTCTTGTAAGGGGTGGAGTGTAGGGGAGATGATCACACCTGCTCAGAAGTTCCTTGCCTGAGAAATTCGATTATTTTTTGCTTTTAAATTTTTAGTTAAGGATCCTGAGTCTAGGTCAATGTCAAACTTGTTAAGGCAAAGGGGCTGACAGTCCCTGACAATTTAATTAGTTCCAAGTAGGAATCCACTTGGAAAACACTGTTGGATACACTTGCTTTCTCTGGAGATTTCAACTATAGGACTCTCTACAAGTGAGACCACATTCAAGACTGCTACAGACCTAAAACCCTGCCCTCAACATTTCCTAGTTTCTTTTTAAGGATTTTTTACGTTGCTTGAGTCTTTGGCAGGTCCCTAGCAGAATCGGCTTTAGGTAAACCTGTGAAGTTATTGTGCCCCCTTTCTTCACAGATTGGCCCAACTGATAGAGCTGTTATGGGCTAGACTCCATGAAGTGTCACAAGGAGTACGACTAAAGCTTGCCATAGCATCACTCTGCCTTGACTAGGCTAGTTTTCTGAGTTATGACTCACATATCTCATCCTTACATTTACCTATTTACGATAGGCAGTGTATTCTCATGTCCTAATGGGCAAGGATGGGATAGAACACCCCTCCTAGGAATCCTTTGGCGATAATGCTCTACTCAAACTCATCTCCGAAACTCTAATGGTGATTATCCAAAAGGGAAGAAATAAACAAAACAAATACTTAGTGGCTGCCTACACATTTATTAATAAGACCATTTCTGGATGTTAGGATATAGCCAGATTAGTCTTAAGCGACAGTGGAAGACGCTGCCCTCTGATCTCTGCAGCTTTGGGACAGATTGGCCAAGTGAGCCCCTCGCTGACAGACCTCCTGCTCTGGGCTATACACTATGAAGCGTCACCAGGTGTACGTCTAGAAGCTTGCCGTAGCATCCTAGCCCTCAACCTTCAAGGGGACCGGGTCAGGGACACCTTCCTAGACGTGCTGCTCCTAGAAAAACATGATGCTGTTCTAAAGTAAGCACTAAACCTCTGGTTCCTCACCCTACCCCGTGTACTGCCCATCCTTGTTAACAGAATACAGCGTGTGGCTGCCTAATGGCTGTAAAAGCATGTGCTCACCTGTGCCATTCACCTACTTACCAAAATGGGTAACAGAAAAACGAATTTACATTAGATTGAAAGTCAAGCTCATACAGTTCACCCACCTATTCTCTATCCCAGGTGTTTTAAGTTATTAAGTTATTCAATTAACATGTATCAAAAGTGCCTACTGTGACAACAGGCTTTAAAGTAAAAAAGTCTAGGGTTTGAATACCAACTCATGCCTGCACTAGCTATGTGAGTCCAAGTAAATTAATTAAACTCTCAGAGCCCCTTTTCTTTTTCTTCATATATCAAATGCAGACGATAGTCCATTTTATGGGTTTGTGGTGATTAATGTTTACTACCTGTCATAAAGACGCTCAATAAATGGTATTTGTTAGTACCTTCAAATATATCATCTCAAAAACTAAGTAACATCCTTAAAAGTGAAACATCATACCACTTGAGGATAAGGCACAGCAAAAGTGCATAGTTAGGATTGGAATTTAGGATTTTTGACTGATTCCAAGTCCTGTATTTTCCACCCCCATGCTTTTTTTAAAGGATAGAAACAATCTAAGAAGTTTTCTTATTTTTCAGGGAAATTCACCAGGCAATGAAGATACTCAAGATAGGACGTGAAGGAAAGCAAGAAATGCTTCAGGAGGTCAAGAACAGGGTAGATAAATACAAGCTGTGTTTTCAAGGGAAAATTCAGGGCTGGCGAGAATTCTTCAAACCCTCTTTGCCCCAAAGCATGTGTACACACCATTCTCCCCATCACGGAAGTACTTTCTACAGTCCTAGACAGATACCACATCATTTTTTTATATACGTTTTTTAAAAAAAATACATTTTATTGGTTTTTTTTAGAGAGGAAGGGAGAGGGATAGAGAGTTAGAAACATTGATGAGAGAGAAACATCGATCAGCTGCCTCCTGCACACCTCCTACTGGGGATGTGCCCACCACCAAGGAACATGCCCTTCACCGGAATCGAACCTGGGACTTTTTGTCCGCAGGCTGATGCTCTATCCACTGAGCCAAACCAGTTAGGGCAGATACCACATCATTTGAAGACACAAAACATCTGTGCAAAATAGGATTATAAAATCCTCTTAGTAAAAAGACAAAACCAAAATCCTATTAGTTCTATTAAGTAGTTCTCAAAATCAGGGTTTGTTGTTGTTTCTAAAATAGTTTCCTTCCTTTCCTATTTTCTCCTCACCATCTCCTAAACCAAAGTTCTTCCCACCCCCCACCTCCGCAGATAGGTATAATGAAGGAATGAGGGACTGGAGCTGGCCTACGTTTTCTTTTTCCTTCTAAACTTTCCTGATCTGGGCTGTTACCAAAAGAACACTCTAGCTAAATAGGTGGTTCTACTTTTTCAAAGCTGTTAGAGGAGTGGAAGAAATACAGTGAAAAGGACTTTAAAAATGTAAAAGATACTTTCTTCATATATAATTCACAAAACCAACCTCACACCAAGCAGATATTTTGTAGCAGATTGCTTTCATCATGCCCAAAAAGCTAAAGTTAATTTTTCATTAACAAATGTAAACATGTCCCACCAATATCACAAGAGAACAATGCTCTCTGGTATTTATGTGCCACCTAATACTAACAAGCATGAGCACTAAGTTACTTCACTAATGCTTTTTGATGATTTGTAGCCTAATGGTTGCTTTTTCCCAATATTACTTGTTTTGATCTAGATTCAAACACTAAACCAAAAGGACTTGCTGACGCAGAAAATATTCAAGATAGAGAAGGTCATAAAACAAGTAAAGGGGGAAGCAAAACATATTTACTTGCAACCCAAAGAGGGGCAAAAACCACAGAAACTACATACTTTTCTTCAAGAAACTTTTCAAGGTAGGTTTTCCAGGGGTGAGTCCTATGGTTTTAGGATCTGGATGTTTTTGTGGATTTTTTTTTTAAGTTATTTTTATTCACTTCAGAGAGGGAGAAGAGAGGTAGAAACATCAATGATGAGAATCATTGATTGGCTGCCCCCTGCACATCCCCTACTGGGGATCGAGCCTGCAAGCCAAGTATGTGCCCTGAATCGAACTGTGACCTCTTAGTTCACAGGTCGACCACATTCAACCACTGAGCCACTCTGGCTGGGCAGGATCTGCATGTTTTGTGACTTAATTATGAGTCCTGTAGGATGAGAGCCAGGAAAGGCTACTACCTCCTTTCCTTATTGGGCTTCTTCTGCGTCCTTCTGTTATTTTTTTCCTCCCCCTACACCTGTCCGCCCCGATTTTATTTACTGTTTTATCCCTTAAAAAAAATAAATGAGGGAGCTCTATTTGAACTGACTTGAAAGTTAGGGGGGGAAATCACATTAGAAAAACAAGTACAAAACAAAAACTAATGTTAGCACCCCCAAAAAACCGTATGGGTTTACCTTTAATAGTGGTTACCTCTGGAAAGTGGGGTTGGAGGGAGAGCTATCATACTACGTATATCTACGGTTTTGCAACTTTAAAAGAAAGACTTTAGCCCTAGCCCGTTTAGCTCATTGGATAGAGCGTCAGCATGGGAACTGAAAGTCCCAGTTTCGATTCTGGTCAAGGGCACATGCCCAGGTTGTGGGCTCGATCCCCAATGGGGGACTTGCAGGAGGCAGCTGATCTATGATTCTCTCTCATCATGGATGTTTCTCTCTCTCTCCCTCTTCCTTCCTCTTTAAAATCAATAAAAAAATATATATATTTTAAAAAGACTTTATAAAGTTCTCAACTTTATATAACTGAACCTACCAGTTATGGTGATAGGATCTTAAAAGTTCCAGATAAAATCTAAATAATGAGGTGAAGACACCAATCTGGACCAATATATACTTACAAAATCTGTGTGCCCAGGCGTAGCAGCAGCCTCAGGTCATTCAGCCAGCTGCCTACCAGCCACCACCCCAAACCCAGGTCTTCTGGTTCCAAGTCCAATGCTCTCTCTGGTACACCAGGCTCTTTTCCACCAACATGAGAACATTCACTTGCCAGATATGGGGAAGTTTCTTCCAACTGCCAGAAAAAAATGAGAGTGGAAAGTAACTTGAACACCAGCCTTCCCTCAGGGCCAGCTCACTACAAGCTGTTTTATTAAAACCTATGATATCATAACTAGGAGACAGTGCCAGCCACTGATGCAAAGAAGCACTGAGCAAAAACATACTCCCAAAAAGATAATATATCATAACTTTTCTAATATGATTGTGCTGTTGGGGGTTCAAGTAGCATGATTAAAATGAATAAATTACCCCCAAAGTTATAGAATTGGCCCCAATCCTACAACTATCAAAGTTACCTTTTACCTCCAGTGGTCAGCAAACTGCGGCTCGTGAGCCACATGCGGCTCTTTGGCCACTTAAGTGTGGCTCTTCCACAGAATATCGACTTCTGTGCCTGGGCCATGAAGTTTCAATCGCACTGTACGTGCGCGCCTGCACGTGGTATTTTGTGGAAGAGCCACACTCAAGGGGCCGAAGAGCTGCATGTGGCTCACGAGCCGCAGTTTGCCGACCACTGGCCTAGGCCATTATAGATTGTCCCCATCTTCCTCCCCCCTCCAATATTCCTTCAAACCATGCCACATAATAATCTAGCCTTAGAAAAGGGAAACATGCTTTGGCACTTTAATAACTTTTAACATTCATACTAACTCACAATAACAAACAGGATACTAACTCCAACCCTCCCCCAAACTGATGAATGAGAACTCAAATTAAGGACGCAAAGCAATTCCAAATAAAAACTTCTCATGTCTCAAGCAGAACGACAGCAAGTGCTACACAGTACACTGAAGCCTGGGCGGATGATTAAGTTCGTATTCTGAAATGATTAGGGATCAAGGTTACTTGGGTAGAAATAGCTTTTTTCCACCTCCAACTTCTGGTTTTATTTCTGTGCCTAGGTGTGGTGGTTCCTAAAACATCCTCTGAGTTTTTTGACACTGCAGCAGGCCTAAAGGTAAGTGTGCGCACAAGGATGGTCCTCAAGGTAAGAACGTGAGTTTTTTCCCCTCCAGAACAAGGTGGTGGTGGTAGGAAAGAGTCATCACTGCTGCCTTGTTTCCAGCAATCAACGAGAAGCTAGTTCAGGTAAGAGGCATCTTGGTGAGCAGCAACCCCTTATCATATAACATGGTGGCCAAGGAAAGCTGGTCCTCCACGCTGTCACAGGGCAGGTCCCCTACCCTCACAAACTCGGGGTAGGAGCGGAGTAAGAGTTCCATGGCATCAGCTTGCTGGGGTAATATCTCCAAGCACTTGGGCTCTTCCAGGTGATAAACACGGGAGTTTTCCACCGTGTAATAGAGAAACAAATGGCCGCCCTCGCCCAACAGCCGGGCTATCCCATCCTGAAGCATGTGCACTTCTGTTTCTGTTGTCAAGTGGGCTCCTACGTTCACAGGCTCTCCTGCCTCCCAGCGAATTGGGAGCCCGTAAACACTTAGTGCCTTCTCCCGGTCAGTTAGCACGGGAGGCAGAGAATCGTGGATGAAGTCTTTGGCTCGCTGGTCAGCCACAGCATCGACAGGAGCAAAGTGTCCCAAGCGGGCAACCAAGACCCGCACCTTCTCCATGAAAGCAGTTCTTCGAGGATCCTTGGAATCCGAATGCTGGGCCCCCATGTAATCCATGAAGTCTCGGGGCAGTCCCCTACGAAACTCCACATTTTCCTCCATGGCAGCCTGCACCGCCAGGGGCAGTACAGCCTCCAAGAAGTCACCCCAGGTATTGCGCTGGTACGTGGACAAGGTGAGGTGGAGAGAGTGCACCCCATCCTGGCATTCGGCTTGGTGAATGAAGCCCCGAGGGAAATAGAGCAAATCCCCAGGTTCCAGCACGGTCTGCAGCACCGGCTCACCAAGGTCTTCCTGGCTGAAGTTGGGGCTGGACGTCAGGGCCAATTCCTCAGTTGGGACCCGGGGTCGGTAGACGCGCCAGAGTTTCCGACCTTCCAGCTGCAGCACAAACGCCTCGATGTCGTCGTAGTGGGGGGCAAAGCCCTGCGAGTTGGGGGGCGTGAGGTAAACGTTGGAGCCCGCCATGCTTCCAAACTGCTCCTGGAGCACCGCCAAAAACTGCCACACGGTGGTCGAGAAGGCCTGGGGACAAAGGAGGCGCAGGGAGCAGCCGGCCTGGTACAGGGACCACGCGGCAGCGGGCAGGGCCCGGCCCGGCGGATTCAAGGTCTCGCGCCGCCCGT